ATTTAATTCTGTATTTGCTTCTTTGTGATTTCACATTCAAAAAAAACTCATGCAAAAGAAAGGCCACATTAAGAGAACATCAGTGACTCATTCAGATCAGAAACATCTGAGATTGCTTTTATAATGTTAATTCTTCTCAGCTGTATGAATACCTTTTCAGGTCATTTGATGAGAGGGTTTCTTTCAGAAGATCCCCGCTTCATTTATATCTGGCAATAAGTGAACAGTTTGTGGTGAAGAAGATGCTAAATGAGAGGTAGCCAATCCCTCATTTGCTGTAGAAGTATTTGATATAGTGAATAAGGTAACACTTGCAGAACAGTTGTCAGATTAAGGAATTTGAGTACTGCCCAGAGACATTCAAACTTCTCTTTCTCTATAAAATCCAAAACCATACTGGAATAATTTAAATCATAATTTTTTAAAATTGTTATTAATTTTGTCTTCTTCATTTTCTATACTCTATCTTAAATCCACCCAGCTTGGGTTGTTGTAATTTAACATTTCATAGACTTCAGATCATAAAGGAATTGCAGCTATCCACAGTCAGAAGTCGAGCTTTCGGATACCTGTTCTTCATCTAAACCAAACTTACTGAGAGAACTTGTCCTTCTTTCTTCTTTTAGTATTCTTGGAACTTGATTCTAGAGGACTATAGGTAGCCTATGGTTATGAATTTCTATGAAATACCAGGTCCAAGGCATCCAAAGTCAGTGAATAATTCTGGCTAGACTTCCTTTGTTTCCATCTAAAACATGGTATGAATGGATACACGAATGCACTTTATTTCATATTACATTTTATTGGGACTTTCTAGTTCCCTGATATGTTGAGTCTGCTAAATCTCTAAATTCAAAGTTTGTATCTTTACCAGATAGATACATGTTCCAGTTACCCAAACACACCCTGACAAATGTATCCACTAGTACTCAACAATTCATGGAATTAGTGTATGAACAAGATACAAGAAATTACACATCCAACTAAACAACTTTCCTCTGATGCTTGTTTTTTCTAACCATCTGGTCTACACCACAATATTATTGTCACATACACTTTTTGTTCCCTGTAAATTTTACTTTTATTTCCATATTAAAATATGGGTTTAAATAAATTATTTTATAAAGATTAGTTGAAAATCTGTGGCATGCCAGGCACTACCTGAATTTATAGATCCCTGGTTGGTGCTTTGGTCACAGTAAAATCCTTCCTTCCTTTTATTACTCAGTAGGATTCAATTCTTAAAATATTACTGCTGGAAAACTTCATTGAGTCCTGTGATTTTTTAAATTTAAATAGCAAGAGAAATGTTTTTTCCAATAGCAATATAGAATGAAATTAGAGATTGATTCTTGTCTTGCTTTCAGCGGGACCCAATCTCCAGCTCAGCTTCTCACTTGCACAAAATTTACTCCCTACAGCATTCTAAATGTTCTAAATTTTAATTCAAATTTTCATTCTGTGCGTATTACCACTTGAGAGAAAAGGCACTTTCTTCACGCACTTCTTTTCATTTGTGTTAAGTCAAATCTCCTTAAATGTTCAGTTTAACATTCAGTTGGTTCCCAGCTTTATAGAAGGGTACCCTATGATTTGGGCAGCTATGGATAAAGTCTTTATCCATGATTCTGATCCCTATTTTTCATACATCGGTGCACTGAGTAATCTAGCAAGAACATTTCCCACCCATCCAGCAAACCAGAGCACCACTGTGTAAGGGAGATGTCAGGCTGGGGCCATCTACTGGTTGTATTGCTGAGCTTTCATTGACAAATTTGAAAAACTGCTTTACACATGTAATTCTATTGCATTCATAAAAATAACAGCACATATTAATATATTAATCACCTAAGTATGTGATGTTTCTTGTGCAATGGTTCTTTGCTCTTAAGATTAAATACTGTATGAAATTAATATGGACCATTTATCCAAAGAAAAAATAATATATTTTACTTTCATAAACAAAATAAAAATGGGAGGAAAGGGGCCTCCTACTTCCCAATAACACCTAAAAGAAAATGAAGAGTAAAGTAACCAAAAAGAAATTGAAGAATAAATTGTAAGATTTCATCATGAATTTGTATGTGTTGTTCTAAAATAGCTAAAATGCTAAAATGCAATGTTTTCAGGGATTAAAAAAGATCTGTCAATTTTATGATCTACCTTAAAGATTCTTATTAAAAAATAATTTCAAACCAAAAAAATTTAGCAAATTAAGAGAAGACTAAAGGCTTTTAAAATGGAAGTTCTAATAAATGAGCAACTACGAACCAAGAATAATCCAGATTGATTGAGTCTGGAGACCAAAAGTATATTTACATAATTATGCTCCTCAGCATGTATTTACTCATTTATTATATGATAATAGTGGTAGTTATTTGTGTTGTAATTTAGTCTTATTTCTTATTTTAACTGTGTCCAGGAGCAAGAGAGAGCATTTTACAGATTGTACAAGTTTAGGTGAGACTCCTTGCGCTTATTAAATCACTATGGATTTACATTAATGTATCCACAGAGACAAAAATATATACATACTAACTCCCTATGCTAATGCCTATACTTTTATAAATATATATTTATATATATTTATGTATATAGGTATGCAATACATGTACATTCATATACATTAATGTATCCACAGAGACAAAAATATATACATACTAACTCCCTATGCTAATGCCTATACTTTTATAAATATATATTTATTTATGTATATAGGTATGCAATACATGTACATTCATTTACATCTAATATATGCATATGCACACATACATGCACACCAGTGTATCACATGTAACTTGTACCTTTTATACTCTCAGTTAAACAAAATCTTCTGTTGGCTCTTAGTTATACTGGGGCTAAACACTATTCACATTTGCCCTTGGCAGACCCATCAGCAGGAGAGTTTTCTAGCAGGAACTCTAAGCAGCTTGTAATTTTATCAAGAAATGCAAAGTGCAATTTAATATGTATAAACGGCAGATAAATAACAAGACTTCCCAGCATAAAGAGGAAAGTGTAAACATGTTGCAGGTTTGGAGATGAGGCTACAGGAGCCAAATCTGGGAAGAAATACATTGCCACCATCACAGACAAAACTGGTAGAAACACCTGCAAGAGAAAGAAAAACTGGTTTAGGAATTAAACTGAACAACTGTGGGTTTCTACCTCATTCATAGGAATAAAAACATCTTTTCTGCCACACTAGAGTACCTTTTCTCATGCTGCTGCAAGCTCACCCAGCACAAGAGTCATCTGACCTCAAAACACCTACAAGATAGGCATCTTTTCTAAAATACTTCAGGCTCCCTCTACTGTCAAGGGGAAGAGATAGGCCTGGGATAGTACCTGAAATCCATTTGTCCACATATTAGGGACTCCTCAAGGACACTCGGGGCTGGGTGTTGTGCTGCTTTTGGCTGGGCCAGAGTTAATTTTCTCCACAATGGCTTGGTGAGGAGCTGTGTTTTGGATTTGTGTTGGACACAGAGATGATAACAAAGATGATCTTGCTAGTACTGAGCAGGGCTTACACTCAGCAAACTGATCCTGCTGTTGTTTATCAGGTAATTTGATCCACCTTCCTACCAGTTTTTACTACAAAACTTATAAAAATCTACTCAATTAAACATTAATACATAATAATCTCATTTTTTATGTCCACCTGGTTTGTGTCAAACACTAAGAATTTTCATTCCTGACATTATCAGCATTAAGAAGTTATCACAATCTCTTCCAAAGTGCAAACCTAAGTCTTGCACTCTATTAATACAGCTGTCCAAAGAGAAGATTCTTTTAAGTTAAATTATGTGTCTTCTTGTCTCTTTGACCTCAATGTATTAATGCCACAGCAAGATTGCTGTGGGTGTAATTTAGTGTGAGCACAGAAGTCAAAGGAGTTGAAGGCCCATCACCTGATACCTCCTGCTCTCTGACACCACCCTGCTCCTCCATGGAGTGAAATAAAGCTCAAATCAAAGCCTTTCACCAGACCTAGAACATCTCTGAGATAGAAACCTCCACATCTCTGAGAGGAAAACTCTTCTGCCCTTCAGCACTTGCCCTGAATTCAGCCCTTTGCAGACCACCTTCTTCCTCCCTGGGTTTTACATTTTAACATCTACAAACAGTTGACTTGTCAGATAAACACACTCAAACTAATACCGTCGCTCTCCACATACCATCCACGGCTTCGTTGCCAAGTCGAAGCTCCCACTTTTCAGTTTTTCCAGGCTCTGGTCTGTCCCCGCTCCCTCCCCTCCCTCCCACAGCCTCCTCTCTCCAGAGCCCATACGAAGACGCGCTAAGAGAAGCCCTTCGGATCAGACATGCAAGAAAACATCCACGTTTCGACTTTTGCTCTTCCAGGAAGCGCGGAACACCGCAGCTCTGAGAGCCGCCGCTCCTCATGGGACACGGCTGCCCTCAGAGCCACGGCTCCACATGGGACACAGCTGCCCTCAGAGCCACCGCTCCATGCGGGACAGCGCTCCACATGGGACACGGCAGCTCTGAAAGCCACTGCTCTACATTGGACAGCGCTCCACATGAGACACGGCTGCCCTCAGAGCCACCGTTCCACATGGGACACGGCAGCTCTGAGAGCCACCGCTCCACATGGGACACGGCAGTTCTGAGAGCCACCGCTCCACATGGGACAGGGCAGCCCTCAGAGCCAGCACTCGACATGGGACACCCCTCCACACGGGACAGGGCAGCTCTCAGAGCCCCGCTCCGCACGGAACAGCGCTCCCTCAGCTTTCCGCCCCGCACCCTCCACCACTAAAGGGCACTTCCGAATCAAAACAAGGGCGCGGCGACGACGGCCCGGGCAGTGAGGCCCGGCAGTGCTGATTGGTTGCGGCTCGGTGAGCGGGGCGGGGCCAGGCGGAACGGCTTTGCTGATTGGGTGCGAAGCGGGGCGGGGCGGTACGATCGCTCTGATTGGCTCCGGCGCGGGCGAAGCTCAGGGCTGGCAGCCGTTGGCGCGCGGTTTGAAGATGGCGACGGCGGCCCAGGGCGCGCTGGGAGTGATGGACGGCAGCGGCAGCTCCGTGAGCAGCTCCGTGAGCAGCTCCGTCAGTTCGGCCACGCCGGAGGCCCTGGAGGCTGTGGCCGCGGAGTGGATGCTGGAGTTCGCCTGCTCCTGCCTGTGCCGGCACTTCGCGGAGCAGAGCGGGGCTGAGTTCTGGCGGTGGAGGGACGTTGCGCAGGGTGAGGGGCGGCGGCCGTTCGGGCTCTGCGCAGCCGCGCCCGGGACAGCGAGTCCTGAGGGGCCGCAGGGGCAGCGCCCTCCTGCACGCCGGGCACTCAAACACTCATTGCCCATCGACCACCGTGGTCAGCAGCGCTGGGGGTGATGCTCAGCTCTGTCGGGGGCCTCAGGAGATCCCCGGGCTGTGAAGGGCAGGTGTGGTATCGGCAGCACTCGCACACGGCAGCAATACAGCAGTGCGGGAAATGTTTCAGAGAACTATAGTCTGTCAGACTGAGATGAGATGAAGTGTGGTGACTGGGTTTTGAATGGAAAAATATATATTTAAAACGGGGAATAAACTTTAGAGTGAGAGTGGTTGACAACTAGAAGTAAATGTCTAAGACTCAGATAAATTTGATGGATTTTTGATGTTTTCTTCAGTGAGATGCAGTTTTCCTGACGATACCAGGTTAGAGCTTTGGGGGATGTTTTGTCTGTGTTTTATGTTCTTGACTCAGGGGAACATAGCAGTATGACTTGTTTAAACTTGTGCAAAGAATGGAATACAATGGCACACAGAATGATTACTAAGTAGGTTGATATGGGATGTGGTAAGAAATCTAATGATAACTTACTACAGTGCTTTGAATGGGAGGCTGCTAGATTAAGTTATTTATGTTGCTTCTCTATGTGTGGCCTTTAGACTGCAGCTCAGCAGGAGAATTGTACTGAGGTTTTGTGCAGGTGGGAAGCAGAGACACTGTCAATGCAAAAGCAGAGTGAAAAGATCTCCTGGGAAGACTGAGTGTGTTAGTAGAAACTATTAATAAAGTTGTACAGAATTCAAGGTCATGGGGAAATAACAAGTAATAGCAAATCTTGAACTTGCTCCTACTCTGTTCAGCAACAGAGGAAAGAGTTTGGCACTCTAAGATTATTAAGTCAATATTGTAGAAGTCTTTGGGAAGAGCTTAGCACAGTCATAGAATTGTAATAGAAAAGTAGGTGTGGTTTTTTCCGTAGAAACACAGAATTGTTACTCTTGCATGTGACAAAGGGAGACGCTACAGAAATAATGATTGTCTGTCAACAAGAAAATAAATTCAAATTGAAGCAAGTGCAGAAAGGTAGGAAGGCTGTGGTTCCAGATAATACTCAGCAGCTCCTTTGAACCCCAACTGTTCTGTGATTCACTTTTCATTTTGAATGGTTCTGTATTATGCTGTGAAGATGAATTACTATATCCAGCACATTAGCATAAGAAATTCACAGTAACCTGAATGATGGGAATAAGCTCATGATAGTTCCCTTTTTAAAATATGTAATAATTCTTGTGACCTTCCACCCTTGCAAGGAGGATTTTCCTTGTAAATTTACATTTCTGAGTAAGCTTTCCATGTAGCTTTTACTGCTTTATTTCTGTAAGTTGCTATAGCAACATGCTATACCAGTCTGTCTGTGGCTCAAGGTTTGTGGGCATTCCCTGGAAGTGCTCTTTGGAGCTGACAGCTGTCTTTTGTAGTACCCTACTTACCAAAAAAAACCCCCTACATTTAATACTATGGTCTTTGAATTGGATGAATATAAGCCTGTGATTAATTCTGCTGTTTCTTCAGAAAAGGATATATTCTTCTGGTCAAGCTCTTAAATATTATTTCAGTTGTTTTAGCAAGGAAGAATACTATTTAAGTGGGCTTCATTGGTTTCTTAAGGAATTAGAAATTTAGTAAAATGTGGTAACACAGTTTCTACTATATATCTAGCCACATTGTGGCAGTGCTGGAGCAAAACTGACTTAACTTTTCTCTTCTTTTCCAGTTCTTATTAATGGCCTCTCCCAAATACCTCCACATCAGAAAAAAACAGTCTATCTCTGTCAGCTTTTGATAAGAATTGCACAAGGAAAAAGCCTAGGTAAATACTCAGGTTCTTTTTTTCAAGTGTTTAAAAATAGTTGCATGAACTTTTGCAGAGGTAAATTAGAAATGTTTTCACATAGCCTTTACTATGCATATATATATATTTAAAATATAGATATAGCTATATATAAATAAATTGGATAAATTTCACTTTTTGGACTATCTTTTTTACACATGTGACTGAGCTGTCTGCAGCACTGGTGTTACTCTGTGCTGACTGACTTAGCTGCATGGAGTTTGAATGACCATATGCTTCTTAAATTACCAGGCTTTTTTTGTCAGAGCAGTATCAACAAAAGAAATATACTGGAAAGACCTGACTGGCTCTTAGTGAGCAATACTTACAAGTTTAAAACTCAGGATATGTGTTCTTTTCTGCACATTTCACTCTAGAGATTAAAGTAGGACAGACAGCAGGAATGAGAAGGTGGATGAAAAGGATGTCTGCCCATGTTTCCTACGGAAGACTGTAAGATCTCGGCTGGCAGCAAGTCCTTGGGGCTCTTACTCACTCCATCTTCTGTTTGGCTGCATTTGCAACTTGTTGGTTTAGCCAAAATAATTTTGAGTTTCTGGAAGACTAACTTCTTTTTATTCCACTGTTTGATAAAGCTCTTTGGAATGTAAAGACTTCAGAAGTAGTCTTGAAAGCATAAGCATGGAAGAAAAAAGTGTATTCTAGCCTAGCAATGCCGCAAAGTCTTGTTTTTATACAATTAAATTTCCTACGTTGTTTATCAGGTATTATGGCATCCTGATTTAGTTTAGCTTGGGAATCAAATTCTAATATTTGAAATAGTTCATAAAATTATTTAAAATAGTATACAAATTATGAAATTTTTGTCCTAATGCTCTAAATTGTATTATTGCATATAACACTTGAGAATATTACTTCACTGTGTGTTTTTCTTATCAGTGGAGAGTGATCTGTGTGGTGAGGAAGATTGCATGTGTATATGGAAAGCTAATGGATGGTAGCTTTGCTATTTTTCTAGTTATTAAAATATTTGATCTGTGATGATCACACAGACGAGGCTGTTTCAGCTCTCTAGGAGCTCAACACTTTTGTTTCACACTATTAATCAATATGAAGTGTCATGTTACTTGAGACGTTTTTGTTTTAGTTATGTGTGTACATGCACATAATACTGTTTGAAATTTCATTGTTTGACATTGTAGTGGATAAAAAATAATTTTTCTCTTCATTATTGTGTAAGTTGCTTACCTTCTGTCTGAAAAATACTTAATGAAAGGGATCAGTTATTAAGAGAGATTCTGCTGATACCATAAAATGAAGACATAAGTGAGGCTGTAGTTCAGTGAACATCTGGAATTAAGCCGACACTGCCATGGGAAAGAAGCACTTGTGCCAGCTCCTCCTGCATCTGTTACATTGGCACACTCACTTGTGCAGGTGTGCAACGACCAGGCTGGGAAACTGCTTGAGTGTTAAGGGGATGAATATTGGGCTAGACTAGATTTCTGCCAGAACTGGTCACTGATCCTTTGCTGGGAGTTTGCAAAACCTTGGTGTTGGCCCAGCAGTACAGTGGCATGGGGGGTTGCTTCTGCTTTTTAAGTGACACTCCTGTGTAGACCTGTTTGAGTTTCCCTCATGGTTTAAGCACTTCAAATACAACAGAAAGTTAAGACATGGAAATAGTGATAGACACAGGAAGAAAAAACAACTTACCATGGTGATTGTATTACAAAATTAATAGTATCAATATCAAATGTTGTGAAATCTCATGCTAAGTTTAATGCATTATTAATGCCAGACCAAATACCTAATTGCAAGTGGCATTTTAAGTGAAAAATGATTAGCTGACATAATAGCCCCTGAAAATGCATCAGTAATGTTAGTAGCAAGGGTAGGAAGAACCAGTCTCTGAAAAGAAGACAGTTGCTTTGGGTATCTTAAACACCTAAAACTTGAGGAAAAAGGAATTGAAATTGTATAGTACATATTAGTTTACTGCATATTACTGCATACTGTAATCTATTTAATTTTATCCTACAATTTTTATGAGTACTTTGGTTTTTTCTCCCTCTAAGGATTACAGTTTGAAAATGATAAAAGAATTTCACCTTTGGAATCTGCTCTGTCTTTCTGGACTTTACTTGAAAGGGAAGAAATTAAACTGGAAAAACTTCATGAAGAAATTCGTCGCTTGATTCAAATTCAGGTCTGTGTGACTTACTCATAATGCTTCAGGATGCTACCTACTGATTGGGAATGAGTAGCTGGAATGCTGCCTGGCAGGAAAGGGCCTGAGGGTGCTGGTCAACAGCAGCTGAACAAGAGCCAGTGTGTGCCCAGGTGGCCAAGAAGGCCAATGGCGCCTGGCTGGTATCCAGAACAGTGCGGCCATCAGGACCAGGACAGTGATTGTCCCCTGGGCTCAGCGCTGGTGAGGCCACAGCTCAAATCCTGTGTTCAGTTCTGGGCCCCTCAGGACAAGAAAGACTTTGAGGTACTGGGGAGTGTCCAGAGAAGGGCAAAGGAGCTGGAGAAAGGTCTCGTGAAAGGTCTGGAGCACAAGCCTTGCAAGGAGCAGCTGAGGGAGCTGGGAGTGTTTAGCCTGGACAAAAGGAGGCTCAGGGTGACCTTGTTATTCTCTGCAACTGCCTGAAAGGAGACTGGAGCCATGTGGGAGTTTGTCTCCTCTCCCAGGTGGCTAGTGACAGGATGAGAGGAAATGGCCTCAAGTTGTGCCAGGGGAGATTTAGATTGGGTATAAGGAAAAACTTTCACACAAAGGGTTGCACAACATTGGAACAGATAGCCCAGGGAATTGCTGGAGACATGATCCTTGGAAGTGTTTGAAAAAAACATGTGTATATGGCACTTGAGGATATGGTTTAATGGTGAACATGGTGGTGTGTGTTAGGTTGATGGTTGGACTTGATGACCTTAAAGGTCTTTTCCAGCCTTAAAAATTCTATCTTACTAAAACAGAGCCCTTTTTACCAAAATCTTGGACTATTAGCAGACTGAACTGAATTTTCAGTTTTAGTACAGAGTAAATAGATCTGTACAGGGCACCTTTTTTATCTCATATAGTTCCTGTTTGGCAGTTTTTCAAACAAATTTTAACTGGTACAATCTAAGAAAGATACCAATTGAAAAAAATTTCAAAACTAATTTCAGAACTAACTGTTAGAAGTAGATATGTGTCAGTAACTCTTAAATATATAAACTGAATTTTTGGAGTCTTAGAAAACTGTAGAATTGTGAATTCTCTTGCTTTTTCTGAATCTCAGGTGGAAAGTATTTAATCATATCTTTTAATTATATTTCTTGTAGATTGTTGCAGTCCATATGGAAAACAGGTATTTCAGGGAAGCTGCTGAAGTTCTTGAAAGGCTGTTCACAGACTCTGAATCAGATAAGGTAGTAACTTGTTTAAATTGCATTAAAAGGTCTTGACTTTCAGGGGAGAAAAAGGGGAGTTGGTTTCCAAAGCTAGCAAATCCTACCTGCATAACTTCAATCTCATTATTGTCTGTGCAGTCACTTTCATACCTATGTCTCTTTAGAATACAAAAGGAAATTTGTGACCAGGATATTGATAGACAAATGGGATGATTTTTGTGGGAGTAAAATGCTTTTAGTAGGAGTTGTCCTTCATCCCCTCTTCCACTTCATATAAGGAGTGAGATGGCACTACAAATTCTGGGAATTTGATAGTGCTGACTACTAACAGCCAATTTGCAGATTTCTATTGTAGTGGACTCTGTCACCTCTGATTAGTGTTCTATGTACCAAAGCATCCCAGGGAAGGAAAACTCATTAGCTTCTGTAGTACAGAGTGAATGCTATTATGCCTCTGACAGGAAAAGACAACATGTATGTTGGGCCACCTCCTGGTTTGAAGTTGGCTGCATCATTCAGAAAGTTGCAAGTTTGAGTGAATAACTCGCTAATATAATAGTTGGTGCATAACTCTCTAATATAATAGTTAGTGCACACACTTGAATTTGCTGGAGTAGAGAAAAGAGCAACAGAAGAACTGTAGGTGAAGAGAAGTTAAAAATGCTTCCTATATCCTCAACTGGTATATTAGGACACATGTTCTATGTAAGTAGTAGCCTGTGTATAATTACTCCTCAGATACACTTCCATTCAGAGCATTTGGATGTTTGGAAAGTGTAGATTGTGGTAATAGTGCTGAAATTCATGAATAAAAATGTAACCTATACACAGGCTGGATTGGCTTCTGTAAAATTCAAAGGGATTGGTAGACAAAATGAGAATTTCTAATTATCAATATTGATGTATCCTTAATGCTGCTGTACTAAGTTTTCCTTCTCCTGAATACTGTACACCCCTTTCAATGGCAGTTTTTTGAGATAGCAAATGAGAAGAGAGAACTGAGTAATGGGTGGTTTTTTCTGAGTGTTTTTCCTCCACTGACAGCCCTGCTTTCAGTGTTATTCATAAAGGAAATGAAAATGTAAATCTCTGGTCAGTTACACTTGACCATTTATGAGCACATAAGGTAAATAACTGGCATAATGTCTAGGTGACTCTAGAACTGTTTCAAACTGCAGCAGAACTGTATAGGGATATGCAGGAAACTGTATAATCATCATGTTGAGCTTTCTGTATTTCCTGTTTTGCATAGATACCAAGTTTGCTGCAGGATTGTGTTGTATAAAGCTGTGCTTTTCTTAGCCTTTAAGGGTGAAGCTGGCAACCATAATTAAAACCAAGGATCCATATGTTCCTCTTCTCCAAAGCTTCAGTTACAGTCTTTTGATAAGTAAAATCAAGTCTTACATTAAACTTTTCATGAAAGAAAATGAAACTAACTTCTTAATGCAGGTATGTTGAAAGTATTTTGAAAACTTTTGAAAAAATTTACCTGATACAGTTAAATAGATTTCTCTTTCCAAGGGAGTTGTTTAGGCAATATTCAATTACTGTATTAGATGAAAAGGAAACTGCCTTCCTTTGGATTGTCTTATTTTCAACCTTTTTGTTATAATTAATATGTCTTGGAGGAAGTTAGTAGGAAAGAGACTCCTCTTAAATATCTTCTATGAATGTTTTTCCCACAACTTTTTGATTAGAAAAATAGTTAGGACATTAGTGTAATTAAAACAAGAGCTGCTTAAGAGATGCAGTTCTGATGTGAGACTCCTTTAAAAATGTAACTTTATATTTAATGCTTATTTTATTTAAGCCTACATGTCTTCCCATACTAAAGATAAAAAAATCAAGACCTGTTAATTTGAATAAAAGCTTTAGGAATGTCAGGGGAGTTAGGAGATAGAAAACTATTATTGCTGTTTTCCTGTAAATACAAATGTTCCTTACAAACAGTCTCACTCAGAAGTGATTTAAAATTGGCAAGAACAACATTCCTTCTTCAGTTCATCTTCAGGAGGATTGTAAAGAATTTCTCTTATGTTTACTTCGTATAAAAGAATATTGAATTATTCAATTACAAAAGCACAGATGTCTAAAGGTAATAAGAAGCAAATTTTAAATAAACAATCCTGAAGTTCCTCTGTGTTTTTCATTCTCTTACCAGAGAGACTGGACAACTTATTACATACACTCAAAGTATAATACAAGGAATACTTTTTAATGGTTTGACTTGAATGTCAGTTTTCAAGTTTATTTTTCAAGGCTCTTTCTTTGAGTCTAAGAGGAAGTGGAGGCTTGGAGGTGTCAGAGAAGGCCCAGAATTCCATACTAACATGCCTAAGGCCCTCGCTGCCTGCATCCTCACTGCCTGCATGTTTGTCCTGCTGTCACCCACATTGCAAATCTTACTTTGAACAGTTACTCTGGCACATGGAGGAGAGAACTTTGTGAGGAATTCCCACTTCTGTGCAGCACTCAGGTCTCCCAGCAATGCACCCTGTCTTCTCTGCAGAAGAACATTCTAGCTTTAACTGCTAATTTCTCTTTCTTCTAGTGCCAGATGTAGAAGTATAATCATAGAGTAATTTGGATTGAAAGGAATCTTTAAAGGTAGTTTAGTGCAACCCACAATAAGCAACCCTGCAGTAAGCAGGGGCATCTTTAATTAGATCAGGTTGTTTAGAGCCCCATTCAACCTGGCCTTGAAGGTTTTCAGGGATCAGACATCAACCACCTTGCTGGGCAGAATGTTCTATGTTTTGCCACTCTCATCATAAACAAAACAAAATTCTTCCTTATATCTAATCCAAATCTACCCTCATTTAGTTTAAAACCATTAACTCTTGTCCTACCTCTACAAGCCCTGGTAAGAGGTAAAGTCCCATCATTATTCAGTATAGGAGGTCCTTCTAGGTACTCTATAAGGAGTAATGAATTACTACTTCCTTCTCTTGGCAATGGAGGAGAAATAATCCTAGTTTATGGCTAGAAGTTTGAGCAGGATGTTAGAAATATTTTTTGCCAGTGCAAAAAAGGTTCTATTACAAGCCTCAAGTCTGCTTAGACATGTCTTTTGAACATGCTACATGTATGCTTTGTCCTGCCATGTGCTACAGAACTAGATAAACTTGACACCTGTCAGTTTTAGTTTCTAACCTAGTTAAAAAGACCAGATTTGGAGTACTTTGATAGTATTTGCAGTCTCAGTTAAGTTCTGTAATTTACTTAACACATTCTTAAGTTCACTCATTATGCGACTATTTGTTGTATTTCTTTGTGTCCATATAAAAATCAGTTGCAGCTATGACTAAAATTTCTCCAAGTTGTTAGTTGATAAAGATCTTTATGGATTTCAACTTAACATGCTAAAGTTGTTTTGAAACTACTTCTTTAATGTTAATACCTCTGAAATGTCTGTCAAATAAGCACTGCTAGTTCTAATAAAAAGTATGCATGTTAAACTTAGTGCAAACTCCTATCTAGGTACTGCCTGGCTTTAATTTTAACATATCAGTTGTATTTCTCACAGGAAGCCACAAAACATGTGGTGTCTAAAGGATTGGGAGCAACAGCATTGCAGAACAGATCTGTGAAAGTCAATGAAAATGGCAGAAGTGATTTGGAAACAAAACATAGGTTTGTTATTAAGTATTATACTGCTAAGGGATGTACTTGGACAGTAACATGAAACTTGTAGATCAAAGAGTAGATAAAAGGGGGGGGGCACTAAATTCCAAATTGCTGTCCAATAGAAAATTAGTTACAAGCACATTCCCTATTTTCTTTAAATGTGTTTTCTTCTGTGGTTGTTACTTTTGGCATTTACATGAAAAAGCTCATCATTAAGTTTAATTATTTGTGAGGTTGCAGAATTTGCAGTTTAAACAGCTGTCAGTCCATAATAATATAAGTACAAAAAAGACTTTGCTTTTTTAATGCTTGGTTGAACTCCTTTTAGTTCTAATTTCAGGCTATAGGTCATCTCAAGAAGAAAAAGAATAAGGAAATTTATTAAGTCTTACATTTTTCTTACAGCTGAACCCTTAATGATGCTAGTGTGGAGGGAAATAGTTACATTGCTTCATGATTCTGACAGTGCAAACCTTCAGAACAATTACATGATTATTTTGGAAAATGCTAATATTCTAGGTTTATCACCACTTGTTCAGGGTGAATAAATTGCTGGCTTTAGCTGGGATAGAGTCTATATTTCTTCATTTTTGTACTTGGAATACTTGGCATCATTTAGTTAAGAAGACACTGATGCAGACAGTATAGAGGAAGACAAGTCATAAGATTTTTTTTAATTTGTTTTTTTAGAAGGGCAGCTCCTGACACATCTGAGAGATATGACTAAACACTCGTTCAAAAATACCTATGGAAATAATTCCTAATGAAAAATAGAAGTGCAAAATACCTCTTATCTTCAACTTAAATGTCTTGGGGACAGGCTGCCCAAGGAAGTGGTCACATTACCAAACCTGATAAAGTTCAAGAAATATTTGCATAGTGGCCTTAGATACATGGTGTGAGTCCTGGGGATGTCTGTGCAGAGGTAAAAGCTGAACTCAGTGATCCCTGTGGGTCCCTTCCAACTCGGCAGATTCTGTATTTCTCCTCCAGGTATAGGGAGGCAAGGTTAAGAGGGTGAATGCATTGATGCAGTCAGTTATTGTATGCCACTGCTTCTACAGAGAAGATTCTTTCATTAAAATATTGTTGAATTATATAAATGGCAAGTTGCTGCCTAGGAAATAATTTTTTTGTCTTTTCTTTTTAAGGTTGGTGAAAGAGAAACAGTATATCACAAATAAGTCATCTGGAGTCATAACAAAACCCATAGCAAGGTGAAGAAATTTGTGTTATTGTTCTGGTCACAGACTTTTCATCAAGTACTTTGTATTTTTACTTCAGATCTGTGTTCTTTGCAGGAAATGTTCAGGACAGAAGCCCAAAGAGAGCAGAGTTCTTCAGAGTGAGTATTAGTTTATTTTTACAATTTCAAACACTTAATCCAATCACATTGGATAGTACTTAAAAATAATGCAGAAATGGTTGTGGTGGATAAAAACACTCCAAGTTGTGTATGGTTTCTGCACAAATGCAGATTTGGTGGTTGCCATATTTAGGAAGCTATGAAGTGGCTTAAGGTTCTCCAGCAATTAATTTTGCAAAATCATTGACTGTTTTCTGGTTTGCTTGGTTGGTTTACAGGACTTATGGTATCCTGTCCAAAAGAAAGCTGACAGCAGTACTGAAATTCATTTCTTTCTGAATTCTGTGCTAGATAACCTGATTAGGAAGGAACTAAAGAAGTTAGCTGATTGGAAAAACAAATTGTATTGTAAAATGTACAAAGTCAGGATGTTTGTGTGATTTCCTGGTATTACTTCTTAAAAACCTAACACAGATAATATAATAGTTATAAGTAAGTTCTTAAGACCATTAGCACCCTCTTACCACAGCAAGATGATGTTATAGTTCCTGCACGAGGCCATGTTGTATAAGGAAGAACAAACTCTTAAGATGCCTTGAGTGCTTGTTGCAGTTAAAACCTGATAAATCTACTTGGAAATGATGGAATTTGTATACAAAGAATCATAGCTCTCATTGGTTCTTACTTCCCATTCTATGTAAAATGAAACTAGTGTATATAGTAAAAATGTTTTTACCAAAATTAAATGTTTTGTTATTATGTACCAATTTTTACCTAATAGTTTAAAATATTATTCTGTGAGCTCTATTGTATAGAAATTAGGGTGGGTTTTTTCAATAGTCTGTTTTTTGAAGCCCTTGGACTATGGCAAGGTTCATGTGTATTCATTTATAAAAGTATGTATGTAAAGAGACATTGAAATTTTCCCAATCTGTCAAAGCATATCAAAATAGTGTACATCTTGTCAGGTCTAAATAGTAAAATGCAAAACTGCTGCCTTGATGTTGACTCCTCTTTGTTTTGGATTTATGTTAACTGTCTTCTAGGTCTTACCAACATTCAAAATGTGGGACAAAACGAAGTTTCTTTGGCATGTAGCCGAAGAAGACAGGTTTGTACCTATTCTCTCTTCTAAACAGAGATAAAATGAATCGGCATGCACAGATTTTTTTTCCTCAGTTTTAATTTTTAAATCTAGTGCTTAGATTTAAGACTCTGTAGCTTACTCAAGTGCTACAGTTCCTGAAATTGTTACAGTCCCTTTCTTTTAAAGACAGGAAATATAACATATTTTTACTGTCTCAAGTACTGCTGTTGCTAATGCTTCCAAGGCTTTTATTTGTTGAAATACACCATTACCAAAGCTTAGTGTGAAATAAAAAATTCTTTCCACGGTTTGGATTAAAGAATTCAGGATGTAATTTGCCTGTGAGAATTTTGGGCAGTTATCTGAGGCAACTCATTTTCCATCTTAAAAGCTTAAAAATTTAGCAGTTTTATAACTCAATACTTTTTTATGTGATGTAAAAACATTTACTTGGGAAACTGCTCTAGTTTGTATAAATCAAATGGTAGGGTCTTCTTATAATGCTACATTTCAAATGGCCCTTTGTGCACTCTTTGTGGGTACGCCTACTTCATTGAATTACATTAAAATAACCCTACTGGGTTCACTAATGCTAGAATTCCCATTGATAGGATGTGCAGAAGTGTATGCCTTAATAGAATGCAATTTGAAGTTGATTTGATGTTGGGGTCTTTCAAGCTGATTTTTGATTATAGCCAATTTTCCTTCATGAGCATTCAGCATTTTATCATGGTAACTGAAGAAATTAACATTGAATATGTGTATTGCCATTGCTGGATTCCTCTTCATAATATCTCTTAGGAAGCAATGTGGAGTCTTTCCGTTTAGATTATAGTACAAGTTGACATCATATATCCATTTTGATGTGAGGTGTTTCATTTTCTGTTGTTCATTTTGATATTTCATTTTTCATATAACAGGGAAGACGAAATCTGTTTTGTTTTTTTTTTTTCTGGAGGAGAGTTATACTTCCTCCTATTTCTTTAAGCATTTTTACTGAAGTTGATGTACTGATTACATCTTCAGTTACATGCTGTCCTCAAATGAGTTGAAGTCCTAATGAGACCTCATTCTTGAAGTTTAAGCCCCTATAAAGAGATTTTTCACTTTTTCACAAATCTCAGGAATAGTTAGATCACTGACAATCTGTTTAAAAGCTGCAGATAAAACCAGTGCCCTAAAAAAAAAAAAGCATCACTTACTGGATTTGCCTTTAAAGACAAAATTACTTTATTCTTGCATATACTTGGATAGGTACCTTGTTAGGCAGTTGCTGGTAAGCATGACCCCTTCCATCAAGCTTGTTTTCAACATCAAGAATTAAACTGTTTGGACCACAATGACACAGAGCTAATGAAAGCTTTGTAGTCACATATTTTTGTGCTGAGCTGGTCTGTTACGGGGTCACCTACAAGCACTGTGTCTAGGTCTAGGGCTTACACACACATCTTGTTAGAAAAAAATAGGAGTTGTTTGCTTAATTATGTTGTTAGAGTTCAGCCTTAATTGAAATATAAGGACTAAATTTGTAGAGAACTGCATCTGACAGGGGCATTGAAAATTTTAAGAGAACTTAAATGAAACTTAACATTCAGAACTGTGTTTCTTTCAACGCTTAGAAAAGTTGTAGGCATCTGCTCCTCTGTTATATTTATGCCTTACTCCCTACCACTAAAACCTCATAAATGTTTTATAGAAAGCAATGATAATTGGCCTTTTAAACAATAAATCTGCTCCTCTTCTTAATCATCTGGGTTATAAAATTGTCCACATGCATGAAAGAATGCAATGAATGTCAAGCTGTTGACTTCTAGAACTTCCTTTTCCATGTAGTCCCTCATTCAATGTTGGCATTGTTTGCTCTTGTTTTGTAAATGGCATTTCATTGCAATGGTTCAGTGCCCATTTTCAGCCTTTCATTGCAGTGTTTTCAGTTAGCTGCATAGAACAATCTGCAGTGCTATTGAAGGGACACATACTTTATTTTCTCATTCCTAAATTAGGGGATGCAAGTGTCACAGAATTTAGAGAACTATTTGTACTCAATTTTATATCCAGCAATTATATGGCAAGTCCTTTGAGTTGTCTAAAATCTAGATGATACTTGATTTAAATTAGCAATGTGTCTGAAAATCTGAGTGTTTAGAGTTTTGTCAGACTTGTATGGAATGAAAAAATCATATATTTAAAGCTGAAGGACAAAAAGCTCTGACTCAGAGCAGAGTCCCCTAATGCATAAAGGAGACAGGTTACTAGAGCAGAACTGACTCAAAGGAATAACAAGATCTTCAGATTTGTGAGTGAATGTCTTCACATTCTGCCTGGCTAAGTGAAGCGTGCTCTGCTGGTGTTCAGAGCTGGCCAGATGTCACATTGTTGCTGTGGACCAGGCACTGTGCTGATGTGAGCTCAAGCGTAGTGCTGCATTATGTCCAGGCTTTCCACCACTCCTGTAACAGTGCAGAGCTGGAATCTACATAAGTTCTGTCCCACAAGGGACAGAGAGCTGGTCAGTGAGTGGGGCAGGGGGCAAGTTACTGCTCTGTTCTGTTCCTCACTGAAGAGTCAGTCCCTGATTTACCTGTAAAGCAGGCCCTCATTTATACAATAGATGGAAGAAATTTATTTTTTTAAAAAGCTCAATGTGAGCAATTAAAAATCAAAACAAGCTAAAAACAACCCTTTTAACAGCAAATGTAATTAATCATTGCAAGTAACAAGGGTTGTGATTGTCTCTTTTGATGAAAGTATTTGAATTATCTGGTGCTGTAGGTCAAGCATAACTGTGTTACTTGAATAAAGATTTTATTTAGTAAAGTTTTCTGGCATGCTCTGAAATGAGATGAACTACATTATTCAAATGGAATCTCTGGCCTTTTAATAATAGTAGAAAAAAAAGCTATTCACTGCTAATGTTGCAAAAGATCTGTGGAACAGGAAGAATTAGAAAAAGGAAGTATTTTTGATAAAGGGTAAACTACTTTAGTGAAATTTTAGGTTCCTAACTGTGTAGAAATACAGTTGAACTACTATTACTTGTAATTCTTTCACTGCTTAGTGAAGTTTGTCAGTGATCAGAGTTTACTGAAAAGACCCTGATACTTGCATTAAGCTGGAATAAATCCAGCTTTGAGATTTGAAGTTTGGTCTTTATACACCTCAGTTTGCACTTTGTGTAGATGCCACATTTTCCCCTTTTGGAGAAAAACCAGGATACAGTTTTGATCTGTTACAGTTTTGAGGCTGAATGTTACCTAAGTTCCTTCCCACTCAGAGACTCCCCCTTGTCTTGCATGTCTGAGCCCTGCTGCAATTTTTAGAAGTTTAAATTAACAGAAGGGTGGAACCATGCAGAATAGCACTTAAAATTTTCACTCGGCCAGAGACTGTACTGATGATGCTTACAAGTGCAGAATCTTTCTAAGATCCCAAAGGGGTTCCATGTCATTAAGAAATAAATTTATTTTTTCCTCCTATTTCCATGGATATGGGTTCTTGTGCCACTGACAGTCATATTGGCTGGGTGTTCCTGCTGCTCATCCTCCCTTTGTGCACAAGCAGGAGGGTATGCATTTGTGTAATGGCAGCAGCCATAAGATTTACATTTCCACTGGGTACATTATTTTCAGAGTTAAGTGATGTTTGTCCCCCTTTAATTCACATTTCCTTGCACTTACCAGATCTACTAGCTGGCTTTAAGCTGAGGCTATTCCTTTGCACCTGCATTTCCCTTTGTGCCCAGTTCTTTACAATTTTGAAGTTTTCAATTGTAAAGGATAGCCATAACATGATTCTGTAAAGTTCTCTTCTGCTCTATAGCCAATGCCATTTATCCATTTGATAGTTGGAAGTGATATGTTACTTGTAGGAGGAGGTTTTATACATACTCTGGGAAACCAACCTTTTATTCCACCAAGCTATAAATTTTAGGCTGTCAGATTCAGCCATTTACAATTCTTATGGCTCTTGTAATGTTCTATAAACATTTTTTACTTCCAATCCTGTTACTCCAATTAACCCAGGGCTTTATTAACACAGATCCCCTTTGGGAGCCCCCATAAAGCTCTAAAGGTTCAGTTAAAAATGTATCATTTATCTCTAGTTTCAAGATATGGTGCTCAAAAAAAACCCTCTGACATGTGTACTCTAACAATTAGAGAGCTGTTTGAAAGCTTACTTTTATATTTGCTATAAGCTCTCACATTAATACCTTTCTCTGTTCAAAAATCTGCTGTTTTTCTTGCCCTAGAAATGGACTCCGAAAGAAGACCTGGAGCTGAAACTGGGAGTAAAGGAGTTTGGAGTGGGTAACTGGGCTAAAATTTTAGCCCATGGTGACTTCGACAACCGAACAAGTGTCATGTTGAAAGACCGGTGGAGAACATTGAGCAAGATCAAACAAAGTTGATTTGGACTACAGGAACCAACTCTTCTTGACCTTTCCCTACATAAGGACCTACTCTAGCTTTTCAGAATAACATCTTATTTTAGTGTCAGTGTGTCCAGCAGTGCTGCTGACATAAAACATGAAACAGAATAGTAATACGTGTAAAACATTTGTGTAAGCTCACCTACTCTGGTAATGATGACTTAAATGTAAATTCTGGCCTTTTTTGCTACATGCAATAACAGATAACCTAGATTCTGAAATGTGAAAATGTTTGTAGTGATTTAAGAAATGTCTGTTATGTAAATAGGGGTATTAGATCTGACTGGCAACATTTTTAGTTTGATGGAGGCTAATAAAAAGTCAAATGTTCTGTATTTTTAAAGGGCTGTATCTCTTTTTAGATTGACCTTTTCAGAATTTTACTTCCTGCCATATAACCCATTCTAATTTGTTTTGCTTCACTTTGAAATTTAGGTCAGATTTGACATTTCTATAAGTTTTACCAAAAAGTATGCATGTATTAGTATTGCTAATTTTCTGAGATGATGGTTTGTTGGGGGTTTTTTCTGCAGTTAAAAAGCGTAAATTCATATAATAACGTATTTTTAAGTAACAAAGGGACTGGTTAGTCTTTTACACGGAAAGAAACCCTATTACACTAGCACTTAGCATTTCTTGGTTAGCTTGTGACACCTACCTTGTCTTGATCAGTGCCTTCTTCCAGACCAGCAGGAAAGGGAAAGCGCAAAAACACATGGCCAAAGTGGGGCTCAGTAATGAGTCTACACTGTCAGTGACAGCAAAGATACATTTTAATGGAGGTCACTATCAAGGTCTCTGCTGGCCACTGCAACTCTCCTGCTCATGGGAGACTGGGACAGATGGATGATGGCACTAGCCTCTATCTCTGGATTCAGATCATTTGGAAGAGATTTCCACAATCTCAGAAAACTCATGCATTCCACTGTCATACTGGTGTGAGTCTAGTGACTTGAACTAACATAATACAGCATTCTTTTAAAAGCGAAATCCCCTGAATTCAGATATTTTCTGTACTTTTTTTTCATGGCTAAGGTTTTTATTTTCCAAGAACCTTTTAAGAACAAGCACCTGTCTGAATTGGTCATATTAAAACAAAGCTCTCTGAGCTACTTTTCCCCATTAAAAAGGAAAACATATAGTTATGAAGTCTGAAACATTCAGAAAGTATTAAAATAATCTCTGCTTTCTGTTTTGGAGGCTTGCATTCATTACAATAAAATAGTAAAATGCAGTTTAAAGGTTTGTTTCACAACACACTTATTGTGGACAGAACCTCAAGCAGATCACCTTCCTCATTCTGGCTAACAGACTCTATGGCTTCTCCTAGTAAGTCTTTATGCTGCATGGAGAGATGCTGCCTATCTTAACAGGATATTTTCTCCACCTGCATAGCAGTCTTGCCTGTGCTCAGCTGTTGCAGGTTCTTATGTTAGTCATTGTAGATGAGCATTTTTAACTAGTAATAAGTAATTTTTTTACTCTTAGCCAAGGCCTTAGTCACAAGGTCTTGTCTAAGTTCATCTGCCAGAGAAGTTACACTGTGTATTACTGACATGAAGTTCTGAGGAGACCAATACCTTAACAATGCTGTCTGGGTCTATGTCTTCATGAAGGCTGAACGTGAAAACTGCAGGGTAGAGGAAGAATACTTACAAAATTATAGTGTAAAAAATTGTCTATATGATATGGACAGTAACAAAGTACCTAACCTGAAATCAGTTTTAGCTTTCAAAAACTTCATTTTTATTCTCCCTTGCTCTTAAATGTTGACAGTAACTATTCTCAGACTTGAAAATATTTGGCTGGCTCACTACTGAGTAGGAGCATTGCCTGGAGACAGGGCTATGGCCAGTAAAGATGGAGAACTAAAGGAACGCAACTACTATGGTTAGAAACATTAGCTCTTTAATTACAAAAGAGAAACATGGTAACATGCTTCTAGTGTTCTAATACAGAGATCAGTCTTTGCATTTTGTATTAAGGCAAAGAGAATTTCCTGAAATGATTCTGCTGAAGTCCTGACTCATTTAAAATTTGTTAAGGCTCCAGAAATGCAGCAGAAATATATTGGTTTCTTGGCATTGGTGTTAATTTTCTTAGTCTTTTTGTTGCAATTTTAAAGGCCATTTAAACTTTCATGTAAAAATAAAACTATGCACCAGGGGACAGGAACAGTGGTCCAGTTGCCGGATCTTCTTCCAGGTTCCTTGGCACTGAGAGTTGCCAATTGCTTCCCAGTGTAAGATTTTATCTCTGAAATGAGAATAAATATGAAATTAGAGGAGTAAAGCTGTGTATTTAGTGTTACTGGATTGTGTTGTATAAAATGTCAGAAGATTTAATCATGTAAGACTTTACTAAACTCATCTAGCTCTTAAAATGCTTTCTGGAGCAGACATTCTATTACTAAGTGGAATATCCAGGATGGTGGGTTGAGCAGCTGGTTGTACAGGTATTAAGTAGTATGCATATTAATAAATGTATGGATCAAATAAAAATCAGTTCTGAATAATAAATATCTACTTTAATAATAAATATCTGCTTTCACAATTACTTTTCTAAAAACCAGGTATTATATGCTTGAGGGGAGTACCAATCCACCACTGTTAAATCTGCAGTCAGATTTGGACTATGGCAGGAAATACCTTTTTTAAGTAAAAGTGCACACAACTGTAAAAAGTCCTCTTCCACTACACAAATTCCATCACTTCTTCACAACTGTGAATAAAGCATTAAACTCTTATGTTAAAATGACTTCACAATTTTATCTGGGTTTTAAAAGCAATTTCTGTGAGAAGCAAAAGGATAAAACTTCTGAGCTCTACAAGCGGTTTGAGCTGTTCCATCTTTTAGATCCATTTAATGCATCTCTAATGAGATACCCTGAGCAGTCTGAACTCCCGTGGTGGGTCTGGCTCACCCGTGTGCGCCGTGGCCGTCCCCAGAGCAGCGCCGCGTGGCCGGGCCCATGGCCGGCGGCTGGCAGGCCACGCACACGGTGTGGCCCTCGCGCAGGTACTGCATCCAGCGCACGTGCGGGCGCGTCTCCAAAGCACAGTGCTGGGAAAGGGATTCCGTCCGGAACTCCACGCAGTATCTGCTCCGGAGGAAAAGCACCAAATCATGAGAGATCAAGCATGAGCTAAGTAGGCACTTTGAATGGACTTACATATCGTAAGGGTGGCGCAAGTTAGACATCGTTGTTGCTAACAAATCTCCTTCTGACCCTAACCCAATCAGTGGATTCTTAGAAACATTATGCAAACTATTTCTCACTCTATGCCCCAGTCCAGTGTTTTATGTATAATCTCACTTTCTCATAGTGTTCTGTATTCCTAAATTATTTTGAAAAACAGATCTCAGTAACCCATATTTTTTTCTTCTATGCTGCTGAAAGAAAATGGAAAAGAGACTTTAGGAATATCAATGAGTTTTATTGTTCTAGGAAAAATAGCACAGGACAAAACATTATGGGCATTACAGACCCAGTAATAGCCTAATTTAAACTTCATTACCATCTCTACTGGTAACTAAACAAAATTTCTTACTGCTTGTGTCAAACAGTTTAAAAAAAAAGGTCTCTTGAGACCAATCCCATTCAGCCCATGTTGTTCAGAGACCTACATCTAATTTCTCAGACTTGCACTTAGGATACATTCAGCTTTGTTTTAGCATTGTTTACTGCTGGCTTTCAAAAGCAGCTATCATCAGACCTGCCATGATCCCAATGTCTAATTCAGGACAATTAGCAAGTAATAAACAATATCTAGAACATGCAAATAAGCTGCGGGAGAGAAAACCAGTACAAGCTTATTGTTTAATGATTGCAAATTTAATTACATTTTTCTCTGTAGACAGCTGTTTTCTGCTGAACAAGATGACCCACATACATATGATAAATAGATTACCCTGCTGCTTCTTTGTCTGAAGGCCAGAGAGAAGATGCTGCTTGTCTTTTTCTTTCTTTACCGTATTCAGAGGTAGTTATGAAAGCAGGGACTGAGGAAAAAAACAGTTATGGTAAAACAGCAAGGCACAGCTGAGTCATATTGCAATTCCTGTAACAGTGGGTGAATGAATCAGGAGCTTGTGGATGGCGATGCTGGCTCACTTTATTGAAAAAGTGATAAATGTTGGCAACATTGGACCTCAACCCCATTCCCTACAGCTAAGCTCTCTTTATTCAGAAAAAAAAAAAAAATCTAATAATGCATGCTATCTAGCCAGTGAGGAAAGAGGATGTACTGGAATCCCACAAGGAGTACTATTTCCTGTTTCATAGTGAATTTGTGTTCTAACTTCGCACAGAGATAATTTGATACTTAGATTTAGTTGAAGGAATGCACAGAGCTTAGTTGTTTGCATAGAAATGAAGAAAAGCTAGAGTAGAAAAACAAATTATTGAATAAAAAGCAATATGACAGTAGAAAGTTCTAAATTATAATTTTAACCAGCTAACTGCAGACAGATGCTTGTTTTTTTGCCGTTCATTGACATCAGCAAAATTTGTGATGGTTGTGATGGACACAATATACAGCAGAGAGATGAAATTGAGAATACCATGCTCGTGGCCACAGTCCTCCCCCTGGTAAGTCAGGTACTCCAGGCAGCCAGCCTTCTCCTCCAGAGCTGGGCACGGCTCCCCACCATTTTGAGGCTCCTGTTGTACATAGCGCCGACGGACCCGCAGCCCAGGATGACATTGTTCTGCACAGCCACTCCAATGACTCCACTCCCCCACAACACAGGGAATAGCTGCAAAGCAGTATTAAAATATTATCAGTGGTCAGGACTTCTGTTTTTATCCTAATTGCTCTCAAAATCTTGAGATAATCAGATTATTTTGAAGGGGTTTTTGTTTGGTTTGGGTTTTTTTACTTTTTCTTTTCTAATTTTATTTATATGGGTTTGAATGCTCTTCCGTGGTTTTGCATACTCAAATTGAAAGTTCAAACCTGCTTGCAATGCTTGGCTCCCTATTCCATCCCTTGTGCACAAAGAAACAGCTGTGGGGCTCTTCTGTACCCTCTTCTGAAGCATGAAGCATTAGCCTCAAAGGAGACCAGTTCATGGATTACCTACACCAGACAGGTCTGATATTCTTTGGCAGCTCCTACACCACTAGATTTTGTTTAAAGGCTGGAACATTAAACAGCATCATGCTTGATTCCCTTCAGATCAATTTCTGTCTAATTTTTCTTCAACACTTACTGTATCCACTGCCACCTGTTTTAACACAGGTCCTGCTCATATCCAACTACAGAACAGTCCACTGGATATTTGAATTTCAGTTCTCATGGATCACAAACTTCCTCTGAACTTGGTCAAAAATTCTGGGGAAAGTACCATTATTTCTAAAGTAAACTTTGAATTATAAGAAACTGCATTTCCCTCAGGGAGGGAAGAAAAGGTTTTGTGGTGTCATTCCCAGAATACAAAAACAGGTGATAGATACCTTATTCCTGAGTGAGAAGCTACATAACACAGAAGTCTTCACTTCATTTTTCCATTAAATCAATACGCAACTGTAAAGAACATACAGCCATTTTACATCTTCATGAAACTGCTTTCCTCAGCCTCATCTCCAGGAACACCAAGTCCCTGTTTTTGAAAACTGTATAACCTAAAAATTTTCCCTTTTCCTAGCAGTTAGAATGAATACTACAACTTTTCAAAGCTTCACTGCAGGCTGAACCCTGAGGGGTTGGATCAAGATGATCTCTGGATGCTCACTGATGGAACAAACACAACCTCTCCATCTGGGAGCTTCAAATCTGCACAGCTGTGCCAGGAGGAGCCATGAAAGAGTAGATAAGAAAAATGTCTCACACATAGGTATCCATCAAGTGGAAGAGTTCTCTGAGGATAAGCAATCATTTCCCTACACGAGTCATCCTCAATTTGTGGCCTACAAGGACATTTAATCTGACTGGTGATCCATTCCCAGTAGCCTTTTTTCCAGCAGGCCACCTGGTAGGTGCTCCAGGTTAGAAAATGGTACAAAATACACATTATCATCAATAGGTGGGCTATCTTAAACTGGTTATGGAATGTTTTGGGTCATGCTTCTCATTATTTAGTTAAATAAAACTTTTCATTTCCCAGGTGTACTATTTCTCATTAGCTTTCAATGGAACATATCACATGCTTTCAATTTTTTTCTGCATTTCCGGATTCCAATTTAAATCCCCAAGTAGATTTACATTTTAACCACTAGTCACATCCTTGTATCAGTGTTGCAGGAAAGTAATGGGACCAAACTAGTCTTTCAGGAAAATATTTTATGCCCTCTGGGATTCTGCCAGTACAAGACACTGGGAAGGAAGAGTAGAATATGATAACCTCCTTGGGGTTTGTGACTCTTCTCATAAAACATAAAAATTGCAGTGTTTGCTCTGTCATTACATCTCTAATTTCTTGGACCCTTACCAATATCATAAAGCAGATAAAACCTCTAAAACCTCTGAAAGAGGCTACTTGGCAGATGTCCTTACCACTTCACTAAAATTCCCTTCCTCTGTTCTCACTGTGCACCAGCTGTTCTGACCAAACTCGCCCACTTTTGAGAGCCCTGAGCACCAGGTGTATTGTGGCTGAGGGTGCTGCATCCACGCCCTGAGGAATTCCACTGAAACAGAATCACAGGGCTGCCCTGGGTATTGGGACACCAGTTGTCCATCCTCCTCAACAATTAGTATTCTCTGGTGTTTTCCTCTACTTAGTGAGGAACACCTTCCCAGACAGCTCCTGAGTATGATTTGTGCTGGACAATCACAGAAAAAGC